GTTCTTGTTGAGTTCTCGGTAATCCTCGGCAAATTTAGACAGTTGGTTGAACCGGCTCATTCGTTCTTGTTGAGTTCTCGGTAATCCTTGGCAAACTTCGCCACGGCTCATTCGGTTCTTGTTGAGTCCTCGGTAATCCTCTGCAAACTTCGACAGTTGGTTGAACCGGCTCATTCGGTTCTTGTTGAGTTCTCGGTAATCCTCTGCAAACTTCGACAGTTGGTTGAACCGGCTCAATCGGTTCTTGTTGAGTTCTCGGTAATCCTCGGCAAATTTAGACAGTTGGTTGAACCGGCTCATTCGTTCTTGTTGAGTTCTCGGTAATCCTTGGCAAACTTCGCCACGGCTCATTCGGTTCTTGTTGAGTCCTCGGTAATCCTCTGCAAACTTCGACAGTTGGTTGAACCGGCTCATTCGGTTCTTGTTGAGTCCTCGGTAATCCTCTGCAAACTTCGACAGTTGGTTGAACTGCCTCATTTGGTTCTTTTTGAGTTGGATGTGCTACTTCGGCTGTGCGTCCTGCCTCATCAACCCAGAACTAAAGTGTGATTCAGTTCGATTTGTGAAACGGCTCGACCGGTTACTTCCTGAGAACCGGCTCAATAGAACGATTCGTTCAAGCATTCGTTCACCTAACAACACTACTAGTAACTGAGTTAGCCTTTGCTCCCATCATGGTATTTTGCATATGCTGGGTGTTACAGTATTTAATGGCAAGTCTGTGGATTTGGACGAGTGGTGTTGTTAATTCATGAGATCTTGACATCTTTCTCACATGGGGACACAAAGTTCCTGTGATTCTGCTGCTGTCTCAGGCTATCTCGTCCCTCTGAGCGCTGCACATCACAGCAGATACATACGAGATGATGGATGAAAGACTTCCCTACCTGTCTCCAAGATGGATGGATTTTTCCCCTACCTTTTTTAGCGCCAACAAGGAGAAAGTTGTGAATGCTGTCCTTTAAAAATCCACAAGTTTTGAGGTTTCATTCATATCTGATGAGTTAAACGCTGAAGTGTGTAGTTTTAGGACACATGAATGGTTTCAAAGAATAAAAATCTTCTGATACAAGCTGTTTCTGGCAGCTGTGTGTGTAGCAGCTCAAGCTAACCTTGCTCCCCCTGCAGCACGTCACATAGTCATGCAGTCCATTGTTTCTGGAGGCCGTTCAGCTTTACACACACACACACACACCATTCACTATGCATTTCATATGAAGTAAGTGTGAGGGAAGAATATTTGTGTGACATGAGATTTGTAGGCTAATTTATTTATGGTACTAGCATCATTAACAAGATGCAGCTAGCATTACCACAAATGCTAGTTTTCATTTGTCAGCTTGAGGGAAAATTGATTTAACCGCTATTAACTTGATTACTTGAAAAGGCCGCTAACACCCTCAGAGTTGTTGTTTACATTGTGTTGCACGCTTTTACCTATTCTTAACTGACTTTAACAAACTAAATCATTCCAAAGAACTGCACTGCAGAAAAGTTGTCACTGATGTGGTGACCTTTCAAACTGTATTAATATGTACATTTAAAGTACTAATATGCACTTTCAAGGTACGAATAGGGGTAAATAAGGTAAAAAAAGATGTACAAATTAGCTATTGTACATTATAGGAACTGCCCAAGTAACAGTTTTGTATCTTTTTCTTCTTAGAGTGTACAGTACGGCTCAGATTTCATTTCAACACTTTGAGTATAGTGTGTAGCATCAGAAATGTCTTAATCTAGGAAAGGATGAATTTATCTTATTGGATATGTAAAAAATGATATATATATATATATATATATATATATATATAAATAAATAAATGTGTGTGTGTGTGTGTGTGAGACATATAATTTTTATTTACAAGAAAATCAAAACTTACCAAATAGTAAGACCAACAATATATATATATATATATATATATAAAGTTCATTTTTGGTAGATTTGGTAGATGAAAGGCATCTTAAAAATAGCACAGAAAAAGGCTTTGCATTGATTTGATCATAATGTATCAGAAGACTTTACAGGAAACATACAACAAAGCGGACTAGAACTTCATATTATTAGTTGAAACTATTATTCTGTAATATGTCAAAGGTATAAAGGTAGAACTTGCAGTAAATATTGTCAAATGTACAGTACATTAGTTTGTCATGACTAAGGGAAAACAAATTTGTTTTGGTCTTGAGTTTAAAATGAAAGTCAAAAATATTTTAATATTTTAAAACAGCAGGCAGCTTTAAGGACGTTTTTGTTGAGGATATTATAAGGAAGTATTGAATGTTTCAAGAGGAACTTTTGTGACTCCTTACAATCAGACAGAGGCGGACAAACTACACAACTCTATTACTTGAGTGAAAGTTCAGATACTGCTGGTCAAATATTACTCCAAGTGTAAGTTGTAAAGACAGATTTTTACTTAAGTAAAAGTACTTGCTTATAAAAGTACTTAAGTACCACAAGTAAATTTCCTTTTTTATGTCAATGCACATAAAAAAGGAATTTTATTATTGTTGTATGTAATACATGCAATACCTCTGAAATAACTTACAATACTGAATAGACTGACTAGCTTGTAGTATGTTTGGAATAAAGAGCTTTTAGAATGTTAAAAACCTATGGGGAAAACACAAAACAAAACAAAAAAAATATTTAACACCCCAACCCACCCCCGCAAAAGCAGGATGGTAGTGATCTCACACAGCTCTGACAGTGAGTGCACATATCTATGTGCAGCAATTCATCCACATTTGAACAGAGTGGACAGTGAAATCCTGTAAATACAGAGTGATAAAGAAGAGAAAAAATCAAACCTTTTTAAAACCCAGCAACACAACTGTAGCTGTATCACTTTACAACAGCAGCACTGCTTTAACAAAAAAGCAAAACGGACTTATTTGCCATCAAAACAAACATTTTAAATGCTGTCTAATCGCTCTGGCTGTACTTTGATGTCACACACAGAACGGTCTGTGCAGTTCTGCTTCAAGTTCAACACCTATTGTGTTTTATTAGGAGACGCACAACAGTTCTTCTGTGGCTTTATAGGTAATATTTTCACTTATACAATTTAGCAAAATCAGACAATATTGTGTCTAATATATACCACAGTATTAACTTCTTCTTACTGAATTGTAAATAAATATCACATTTGCAACTGCTCAGTGTTCAAAAAATGCTGGGAAATCCCTTCATGTAGCCCTACAAGAGTGATTACTGATAAACTGTCTGAAAAAAAGAAAGTCACGTTTTAGAGAAGAAAAAAAATCACCCACAGACTTTCAAAGCTGCTACATAGTAACGACTTTCTACTTCGAGGACCTTGATAGAAATGTAGTGGAGTGAAAAGTACAATATTTGTCTTTCAAATGTAATGAAGTTAAAGTTATAAGTTTCCAGAAAAAATTATACTCAAGTAAAGTACAGATACTCAAAAAGTGTTCTTAAGTACAATACTCAAGTAAATGTACTTAGTTACTGTCTGCCTCTGCAATCAGATTACTCACATTTAGCTTGTTGTTACAGATAAGGCAACATTTCTGTCCACACAATACAGCTCTAATATCCTTAATAGAGTTAGTTGATACTGATGTGATCTTTAACCAAAGAAACCATGGAAGAAGATGCAGACAGTGAGGAGGATAATAGCGTTAGCGTTGACCACGTTTCTCCATAGAGGTTTCTCAGTAGTGTCTGTGAGTTTCATCTTCAACTCTGCCTCCTGTTCTTTAGTCAGTTTAGGTGCATTGCCTTGATCAAAGCCGCAGAACCAGTTGTAGGCCTTCTTCCAACAGCTTGGATCCTCACGCACCTCTGCAAGGTCGAGAGGCAATCGGAAACAGTTGTTAATTGTTTTTAAAAGTATGTAAGTATGTTTTTAAAGTGCCCATATTATGTCATTTTACTGACAACTGCTTCTCTAATCTCGGGGAGTTCAACGCGGGATTCACAAAACACTTGCTCATGAAAGATGGCTCAGTACCCAGTTTATATGGACCAGCTGACTCCACTGAATTACAACCTGTAAGTATGGTATACATAATAGATGTTTATATTTTCTATTGAGTGTTCAAAACATGGAACTATGGCAATGGGAGAAAAATTCCAAAACAATATAGCTAATTTATCTGGTGAGGTCAGTGTTAGGTGACAATGGCACACACAAAGTTTGGTGTCAGTGTGTCAAAGCTTTGCAGAGATACAGCCTCATATGCAGTTTGGCATCATGCCATCAAATTCGTTGATGTAATAAACAAAAAAATGTTTTGTCTATTGACACGAAATCCATAACTTTTTGCCAGCATGGTCTAAACATGATCTGAGTCGAATTTGGTGAAAATCGGACAAACAGTCTAGGAGGAGTTTGAAAAAGTAGGTTTTCAAAGAGAATCAAAATGGCGGACAAGAAGTTCAGTTGATTATGGCATAGTTGGTATCGATGTTCTCGGCAAGATTCAAGGAATCTATCAAGACCAGTCTCATGATAATAGGCAAAACTAATCAAAAGTTATTAGCATTTTTAAAATTTTCATTATAATTATTGACCACAAGGTGGAGCTGCCACAAAACTTTTTGAGTACCTTCAGGGCTGTCCTCTATCTGTGTTTCAAATTTCATAAATTTCCCGCAAGCGGTTCTATGGGCTATCATAGACACCCAAAGCAAAAGAAGAAGAAGAAGAAGAACGCCAACAGATATAATATGCCTATGCACCTTCAGTCCCTTATAAGTGAGCATCAAATCAGCAATATTGAATGATTTCTGAAGGATCATGTGACACTGAAGATTGGAGTAATGACTGCTGAAAATTCAGCTTTGCTTCACAGGAATAAATTACATTTTAAAATATATATTCAGATAGAAAAGAGTTACTGTAAACTGTATTACTGTTCTTACTGTATTTTTGATCAAATACAGTCTTGAGCATAAGAGACTCCTTTCAAAAACATAAAAAAATCATAAGTATTCTGAACTTTATAGTTTAGTTGTAAGAAGAGCTTACATGTTTGTCATCAATGGGTTTGGTCATGAGGGAGATGCCCAGGATCAATATACAGGACAGGCTGAAGATGATGAGGGCAAAATAGAGGTAGTGCACACCACAGATGATCGTGGGACAGTTACTGGGACTCACGCAGCTGCCTGTGCCGTAGGCAAACTCAGTTATCATACGTGCCAGACCCACCAACAGACCAATACACAACCCGTAGAAAGCACCCTGTGAGGACACATCAACAACATGTGTCAACAGACAGAAAACTAGATGAGTAAAGTCTGATGACAAACTTGATGTTGACTTGACAAAGCAGGTCTGGACGTTTAAAATAACTTTGAAAAGCTTGAAGTTTGAACATTTTGGCATCTTGAGTTTTCCAAGATGCCACAACATTGTGCAGCCTCTGGTTGTAAAAACCTCTGAGACTTAAATTCCCAAAGAAATGGGATAACATTTCACAGGTGAGAATGTGTTGGTTTGTGTTTTTATAACTCAATATTACAGGTTTTTAAACTATGGTAGCTTTTTGATGTGTTAGCTAATGCTTTCGTCTTCTTATATTGTAGTTTAGCAAAATCATCTGCTGAAGTCTATTGCAGATGTAGATATTCATACATGCGTGTAACTTTGGTTGCAGACAGACAAACTTGCTCTCGAACTGGCGGACGGCTTACATGGGTCATAGTATCAGCCATTAATGAGGTATCTATGAATATATTATCTATGATTTTAAAGAGTTGCAAGCACGTTTTAGCACATTGTTAACTTATTTCAGCATGTTGATAGCATGTCCCTAGAATGTTTTAGCATGTTGCTAGCATACTTTAACACACTGTTAGCATGTTTTAGCACATTGTCAAGCCAACATAATAATCTGCAGCCAAATTTAGATGTTTTTTTGTAAAAAAACAAACAAAAAAAGTATATTTAATAAAATGTTAAAACTTCAAACTAGCAAAATGGAAACAAAATTACTACAATGAAATGTTTAGATTTAACTCACTGGTTCATTGACTCGCTTGCAAAAAATGGCGAGGATGAAGACAGCGGCGATAGGTGGAGCCAGATAACTGGTGATGGACTGAGTGTATTCGAAGAGCTGCCCGCTCTGAGCCGACTGAACGATGGGGATCCACGCGATACTCACGCCGATCAGAAACAGCATGAACACCCTAAACACATGAACACAAGCCTCTCAGAGCCTATTCATCTCAGTTTCTGCTCACAAAATCAGAAAATCAATATCCAACACAAACAAGCAGACACGTGAACACACCTCCCCGCGATCATGAGCTCCTTTTCCTTGGATTTGGGGCGGATCTTGGTGTAAATGTCCATTGTGAAGAGTGTGCTGGCGCTGTTAAAGATGGAAGTGAGTGAACTCATCAGAGAGGCCAACATGACGGACAACATCAACCCTCTGAGACCTTCGTAAACACACACAGCAGTTTAGAGCCATATCACCAAACAGATCTATCAAAGCAGTCTATTAGAGATGTAAGAGACAGAAATAGAAATATCAGATTATTCTTTACCGTTTGGCATCAGATCCAACACAAGTTTTGGATAAGCAATATTACTGCAGCCCACACTGGCTCCACAGTAGTAGTCACACTCTGCTGGATCCACGCATGCAATCTCATCTGACACAAACAAGAGGATAAACACAAACATTAATTTCTCTAATAATCTTTGACAATTCAATGACCTTCTGATGCATATTGCATACAAAAATGTCACAAAGTTGGTGTGCATTACCTTCGGATTGTCAGAATTACTTATCACAAGTCCACATAACTTTTACATATACCACTGTAATTCTTATACAGTCATGAATTTGAGATTTACCCTCCCTGAAATGTCATTTTAAACCAGTGTTATTTTAGTATTATGTCAGTATTATTGGTATTAGAGTATTTATTAGTATTTTAAAAATAAACTTAAATTTTTATATTTACATTTTTCATTTTTATTTTAATGTTTGTAATTTTTATTATAATGTTTAATGTCCCATATGCAGAACTGATATTTAATTATTATTAAGTCTGCTGTTCAACACAATTTAAAAATATTATTGTTTATCAGAAGAATAAAAACATTATTAGTATTATTATTAAGGTGCACAATTAATACATTAATTAAATGAATGAATTATATTAAATAACTAATTAAAACATGGGAATTAATATTATTTTAGTATACTATTTATAGTATTTATTAACATTTTAAATTAGCTTTTATATTTATATTTTCATTTTAATTTTAGTTTAAATGTGCTTTTGCCATTTTTTTTAATTTAGCTTTATTTTCAAATTCAGTATTTTTAAATAATTTTAGCATTTTAACAAACTTATTTGTAATTTTCATTTCTATTTTTTAAGTTTAAGTTTTTATTTAATTTTATTAATTTAAGATTTAATAGAATTTTTTAGTTGTGTTTGATGTAATATTATTTCAGCTTTATTCCAATATACAATTTTTTTTTAATAGATTCAGTTGTAGTTAACAATAACAACACTGCTTCAAACAAAACAAACTGCGGATGGTTGCTTAAAGTGTAAATCAGACTCTCTACTTACCTAAGTAGGTAGGTGTTTGCTCAAATATGTTGCTAGCATATTCTATGATAAATAAGTGGACCAGACTTTATGCAAAACTCCAGTTCACCAGAGACTATGTTCACCGTATATAACTCAGATCACTCAGTTAAGATTTAGTCAACATACTTGTTGACATGTGCAAAATGGTTCATCAGTTTATCACCCTTCTCACCCAGGATGGTGCCAGTCTTTCTTACCTGTGTACAGCACTCGGCTGATCATGCCAGGGAAAACCATGAGGAACATTGGCAGAAGTTTGAGGTAACCACACAGGATGCAGCCCGCTTTCACATGAGACAGGTTCTTGGCAGACAGACAGCGCTGCACAATCACCTAAAACAATATGGAGAGTTTATTTGACGTTTACACAGTTTAAGTGTAGTGAGAGTTGTCCTGTGTGCTTCGACTATGATCTTTGAGAGCAAAATTCTTATAAAAGAGCAATTTCTCTAAAAGGGAATTCATGGTCGGATTGTGTATTGCACACCATGCCTTTCCGTCCATGCCCTTCTGGTTGCAGTTGCAGTACATCTCACCCTCAGACAGGCAACAATTGCTTTGCACAGTGTTTGGGCCACGTTTATTTTAATGTTTGTAATTTTTATTATAATGTTTAATGTCCCATATGCAGAACTGATATTTAATTATTATTAAGTCTGCTGTTCAACACAATTTAAAAATATTATTGTTTATCAGAAGAATAAAAACATTATTAGTATTATTATTAAGGTGCACAATTAATACATTAATTAAAAGAATGAATTATATTAAATAACTAATTAAAACATGGGAATTAACATCATTTTAGTATACTATTTATAGTATTTATTAACATTTTAAATTAGCTTTTATATTTATATTTTCATTTTAATTTTAGTTTAAATGTGCTTTTGCCATTTTTTTTAATTTAGCTTTATTTTCAAATTCAGTATTTTTAAATAATTTTAGCATTTTAACAAACTTATTTGTAATTTTCATTTCTATTTTTTAAGTTTAAGTTTTTATTTAATTTTATTAATTTAAGATTTAATAGAATTTTTTAGTTGTGTTTGATGTAATATTATTTCAGCTTTATTCCAATATACAATTTTTTTTTAATAGATTCAGTTGTAGTTAACAATAACAACACTGCTTCAAACAAAACAAACTGCGGATGGTTGCTTAAAGTGTAAATCAGACTCTCTACTTACCTAAGTAGGTAGGTGTTTGCTCAAATATGTTGCTAGCATATTCTATGATAAATAAGTGGACCAGACTTTATGCAAAACTCCAGTTCACCAGAGACTATGTTCACCGTATATAACTCAGATCACTCAGTTAAGATTTAGTCAACATACTTGTTGACATGTGCAAAATGGTTCATCAGTTTATCACCCTTCTCACCCAGGATGGTGCCAGTCTTTCTTACCTGTGTACAGCACTCGGCTGATCATGCCAGGGAAAACCATGAGGAACATTGGCAGAAGTTTGAGGTAACCACACAGGATGCAGCCCGCTTTCACATGAGACAGGTTCTTGGCAGACAGACAGCGCTGCACAATCACCTAAAACAATATGGAGAGTTTATTTGACGTTTACACAGTTTAAGTGTAGTGAGAGTTGTCCTGTGTGCTTCGACTATGATCTTTGAGAGCAAAATTCTTATAAAAGAGCAATTTCTCTAAAAGGGAATTCATGGTCGGATTGTGTATTGCACACCATGCCTTTCCGTCCATGCCCTTCTGGTTGCAGTTGCAGTACATCTCACCCTCAGACAGGCAACAATTGCTTTGCACAGTGTTTGGGCCACGCCCATGCTGAAGCAGCTTTTTTGGATGGTTTACGTTCTACTTGTGAGGATCGGCACGTTGCTCTCATGCTCGCATTCTTTTTTGGGGGGGTTCGGTCTCTCATTCGGGGCTCGTGAGGAGGATAAGTTATCTATCGCAGCATCTGAGGGCGGGTCTGACCGATCAGAAGTGAATGACTTGACTAAACTGGCAATTCCAGGTGCTGTGTGTCAGTCTGAGCCTGACGCCAAGATGGCAGCCTTCCTTACCTGGGCAGCAGAGAGCATCAGGCTTGAATGGACTTCTCCACCCTGTCCTGAGCGCTCTTGGCTGGATGATTGGTTCTTGGAGACCAAGCATAACACTCAGCTGTGCTCCGCCCCAGATCCTTTCTTCCTGGAAGTGCACGAGGAGCTGATGAAATTGTGGTAGGCATCTTTTTCTGCCAGAACACGATACACCAGCTCCTCCGTTCTCACCGCCCTCATTGGGGGTCCAGTGGGGGGGTTCATGGTGGTCCCCCATGTGGAGAATGCGATTGCGGAGCATTTTGCCCACAAACTGCCACCAGCTGGAACTCCCGTCCAGGGCGTGTAAGCTTACTTCGTTTCTTGTGGCGAGAGCTTATAATGCTTCTGGACAAGCTTCGTTTTCACAATGGCCAGGCACTGAACTTAGGCATCAATGCCTGTTCAGATGCAGATACACTGCTCACATATTGATGCACCAGGTCTGTTGCCAAGTCAGAAGGACGGACCTCTGCAAACTCAGGTTCCTGTATGTGTCAGTGGTTTATTCAACATACCTGAGGAGCAAGGTTGGTGTTGCTCATCCATCACCATGCGTCATGAGGGACATGATGTCTTTCGGCATGGTGAGCCTTGCTCCACAATGCTGCAGGAACCTTGCCTCAGGTACATCAAATGTAGTTCCACTGAGGACATTGGCGTGGTGTCTGGATGCTTGGTGCCAGCCTGCCCTATTGGCTTTTCAGGACCACTCGACCCAATTGCGATTAAGTTTGCAAGGCACCTGCCCAGTCTGTGTGCATTGAATTTATTTAATACACGAGTTTCACAATTTGAGTTGAATTACTGAAATAAATGAACTTTTCCACGACATTCTAATTTATTGTTTCATATCAGAAGAACTATTTAAGACACACACACACACACACCCACACCCACACACTCACAGTGCGTTTCAAACAGGATATATTGCCCTCCGAAGGGCACCCTGGAGTGAAAACAATCATGGCCGCCATACTGAAAGGTCGTTCCAAACCGAAGTGCTCAAAACTGGCCACTTCAAAGGGCCCTTCAGAATGAAGGATTTCGAAGGGTACAACTGATGGACACTTCGGGCTCCCATGATCCTTTGCACAGATTCTTAGCATGATGACGGCACCTCCGTGTGGACATGTGATGATGACGCAGAAGGGCATTTCAAGAAACAGTTGTTTGGTCCCCTACACCCTCCAACCCTTCGAAGCTCTCACTCCAGAGGGTAAACCCTTTGAAGGGATTAGGGCATAGGGATGAGCCCTTCCGAATGGAACGCAGGGAAACTTACACTCACTCACTCAAACATTGCTGGATATTGTTGGCCTGTAACGTCTTCATGTATTCTGGGTTTTCTACAAGCCTTGCCTTGCCTTGCCTTTGTGTGTTTTATCTTGGACCGTTTATCTGTTTTATGATCGTTTGCTGCCTGCCCTGACCTTCGCCTGTTTTTGGATTACCCTTTTGGATTGCCTTGTTTGCTACTGTTTGCTGGTACTGGACCCTGCCTGACTATGTTTATTATTAAAGCCTGCACTTGCATCCACATCTCTGTTGTCACGCCTCCCTATGTGACAGAATATCCAGCTAAAACCTGGATCCAGCAACTTTATTAAACGACCCAGACCAATCATGGACCCAGTGATCAGATTCGCTCTTCACCCTCAAGGTAATCGGTCCCTCGAGGATCACATTCAGGACTTTTTAAACATTGTTCATCGCTCTCTGATTTCCCGGAGTGTGCACTCATAGATTTCTTTAGCCATGGACTTAATGAACCACTATGAACTTAACTAATCTGTCATGGTCTTTTAGGCTCACTATGTCAGTTTTTAGACTATGCTGTTTTGCTATGTGGTTCTCCTTTCACTGTGGGAGAGGCAGAGACTTTCCACAAAATGGCCGCCAGCCCAGAGACTTTTTACAAAATGGCCACTGTTCCAGAGCCTGCTCACGTCAAGCCTGTCAAGCCAGGGCCTCTTCACAACAAGGCCACCATTCAAGGGCCTGTTCAAGTCAGGGCCACCACGCCAGAGCCTCCAGCCGTTATGAATGTCAAGCCACAGTCTTCAGCCATCACGGATGCCACTCCAGTGTTACCGAGCATCATGAATGTTGCATTTGAAGACACCAAGGCATTCCAAAGGAGTTTGAGGCTGGTTTCCAGTATGGCAGACCCGCTACACACTTAAGCTTGCTGGTCTCAGCACTCATGGGCCCGCAAACCATGATGCTCTCTAGTTTACCAGTCACAGCGCCATCTGTCTCGGAAATAGACACTGTGCTCTCTGTCCTGCCTGTGAGTGCTACGGTCATTCTATGCATTTGGGCCACACACATCGCCGTAGCTTCCCCAGAGGTGGTATCTTCTGCTGCAGAACCTCCCGAGTCAGCTGTGTCCTCTCCTCTCAGGGCACTGGTGCCACTTATGAACTCCTTGTCCAAATGCCCGCACTTGCGGTCTTTGCACTTGACCACTTGACTACTAATGTGACTTATTTCCTGTATTTGGTCCAAGTGTTCAAGTGAGCATGAAGACCACAAGTGTGTAGAACGTTTCATTACCTGATGGGACACACTTTATAGTGTTGTAAAAATGCAAGTGTTTACAGAGCTTTATTTTTATTATTTCCAATACTTTTCATTTTAAAATCAACTTCTAAATGTCTGTTCAGAAGTCCCTATAACAGATGACACAATTTAATTGTATGGTGCTTCTAAATAAGTGAATAAAATCAGTTGCAAATGTTGTACAAAAGAATTATCACTACTACTCATTTGCACCGATAAAACGTGCAACTCTTTGTTTTACTACCAAATGATATGTAATATCTAACTATTATTAATATTTAACATGCAATGGAAAGGTTTCCGTGACCTCTAGCGAGAAGTCTCACGGTTTATTTCCAGAACATGGTGCATGATTTAATACACTAAGCCTTGAATACCGCTCTGGAACGGTATCGGATAGTGTTGCTTTAGTGTGTGTTAAGGGCACTGCGCTTTGGCGTTTTAAGACCTTGCGCACTTGTCGCATGCACGCACTCTCAAGTGGCCAAGACCGCAAGTGTGGGTATTTGGACAAGTGGGAACTCTTAGTCTGCCCTGTCATGGCCAAGGAGCCCATTCCTGAACTCTCAGTTTGTCCTGTCACGGCCAAGGAGGCTGTTTGCGAATTCTCTGACTGCTCTGTTCTGGCTTTGGAGTCCACCTGTGAACCCTTTGACAGTCCAGTTACAGCCAATGAGGCCATTTATGAACTCTCTACCTGTCCTCTTACAGCCAAAAAAGCCGTTTATGAACTCTCTGCCTGTTCTGTTTCCAAAAAAGAGGCCGTTCATGAACCCTCTGACTGTCCTGTCACGGCCAATGAGGCCATCTGTGAACTCTCTGCCTGCCTTGTTACGGCCGCAGAGGCCGTTGTTAATCTCTCTGTTCTCTCTATTAGAGACCTGCACGGGACGGATTTTTCAGTCCCGCTCCCGCAAGATTCTGTCCCGGGCCCGCCCGCTCCCGCAGAAAAATATCTTATCTGGGCCTGCTCCCGCCTGCACATTCATCTTTTGTCCCGCTCCCGCCCGCAAAATCCCACATAAAAGTAATCTATATAGATTTTTTTTCAGCACATCAAAGAAATTTACATTAAATGGTTCTGTAACATCTCCTACGATCCACAACATCCCAGCATAAATGCTCCCAATAAAATATTTGTCATTTAGGCTAAGCATCAACATTCACAAACCACTGTTATTTTTAACAGAAAAGCAAGCATGGGCTGCTGCCTGCATTATTTGGCATGACAGAATGCGAGCAGCGCATGCGAGCAGAATGTTGGCACGCAATTTCAGCACTGCGGTGAGTAGATTCTAACTTAATCACCTCTGGTTGGCCATTGCGTTCCAGAAATCAACAGCTGAGTCTGTGATTGGCTACATTGCGCAGCGCTTTAAACACGTGTTATAAATAGAAACTCTACCTAGCTTGCGCGTGTTAATCATTTTAATGTTATTAGTTGTACAATAAAAATGTATATGTTTTAGACATTTTATGTTTAGATCATTTCTATTTTGCGGGAGTCCCGCAAATCATTTTATTCTCCCGCATCCCGCACACACACGAGCCTCTTCCCGCCCGCACCCGCACTCGCCCATCATGAGTTGTCCCTGTTGCGTTGGGTCCCGCGGTACTCCCACGGGAGTGCAGGTCTCTACTCTCTATTCCAGTCCCACCTGATCCGGCGTGGTGGTTCCCTGCACTATCAGTTCCACTGAAGTGGTCCTCAGCTCTATCAGCTCCATCCTGGTGGTCATCTGCTCCATCGTGGGGATCTTCGGTCCCGTCTGCTCAGCTGTGGTGGTCATCTGCTCCTCCATGGGAATCTTCGATCCCGTCTGCTCTGCCCTGGTGATCTTCTGGTGATCTTCAGCTCCGCCCTGGCTCCCTGCTCTGCCAGCCCTGTCCGGGCACCCTGCGCCACCTTGGTACCCTTCTTGCCAGCTGGAGTTCCCATAAGCTCCTCTAGAGGACACTCTATCCCGCACTCTATATCTCTAAAGTACTTGATTATGATTTTAACTGTAGTGTGATATTTGATATTACATTTAAAGTTAATATATTTATAAAGTTAATATATTATATTATATATTTCAAGTGTATTAAGTTGCAGCTTCATCATTACTAATTACAAATAAATTTAAATACATGACATTGCAATTGACATCCAATTAAATGTATAAAAAACAGTTCACATTTAAGCTTTTTTGCACTATATTATATTACTACAGTATATTATTTACATAAAGATTTTTTTAAATGTATATACACTTCTGTATCACAAGGGTGAACTAAACTTGCCTTGTCATAAAATGTCAAATTATCTGATATTTTAAGAGACTTTGACCTTCACCCACTGTAATGAGAGTCTGCAGGGGTCCTCTATGATATCATTTCCTGTTGTGTTTTTTACTGCACATTTTTACACGCTGCTTTCACATGCTTTGGATTGGCTGACAAATGTTTTTCATATATTAAGCAGTAATTTATTTTTATATATATACAGAGTTTTCTCATGAATAAAAATGAAATATATTATTAAATTACTTTTCTTTCTAATAATTTATTTATTTTTCTCTACTACAGTATCAGGACAGTTGTATCACCATGACATTTTTTGACTATATATGCTCTGCCCTGGTGATCTTCTGGTGATCTTCAGCTCCGCCCTGGCTCCCTGCTCTGCCAGCCCTGTCCGGGCACCCTGCGCCACCTTGGTACCCTTCTTGCCAGCTGGAGTTCCCATAAGCTCCTCTAGAGGACACTCTATCCCGCACTCTATATCTCTAAAGTACTTGATTATGATTTTAACTGTAGTGTGATATTTGATATTACATTTAAAGTTAATATATTTATAAAGTTAATATATTATATTATATATTTCAAGTGTATTAAGTTGCAGCTTCATCATTACTAATTACAAATAAATTTAAATACATGACATTGCAATTGACATCCAATTAAATGTATAAAAAACAGTTCACATTTAAGCTTTTTTGCACTATATTATATTACTACAGTATATTATTTACATAAAGATTTTTTTAAATGTATATACACTTCTGTATCACAAGGGTGAACTAAACTTGCCTTGTCATAAAATGTCAAATTATCTGATATTTTAAGAGACTTTGACCTTCACCCACTGTAATGAGAGTCTGCAGGGGTCCTCTATGATATCATTTCCTGTTGTGTTTTTTTACTGCACATTTTTACACGCTGCTTTCACATGCTTTGGATTGGCTGACAAATGTTTTTCATATATTAAGCAGTAATTTATTTTTATATATATACAGAGTTTTCTCATGAATAAAAATGAAATATATTATTAAATTACTTTTCTTTCTAATAATTTATTTATTTTTCTCTACTACAGTATCAGGACAGTTGTATCACCATGACATTTTTTGACTATATACTCTATAAATTTTAATTCAGAAATTGTGAAGCAGCATTGCATTAATAATCTTTGGGCCTCTAAAAACCTTAGCAACTGCAGTTTATCAGTCACAGAAGCATACAAACACTCTCAGCCACAGCTGAGCCATTTACTGCTGATAAGATGATTTCTGATTTCTTACCGTTTATTGTTGGTTATCTATCTATCTATATGTCTGTCTGTATATATGTATAAAGGGAGAGTGAAATACTGATGTAGAAAATGTAACTATAAAGTATGCAGTATTTCAGTCAACAGACCTGTTACTGTGTAAAGAGCCGTAATAAGCAGCAAAATAACAACAGCCAGGTAAATGTTTAGTCCCAGAGCCTGGTTGATGAAAATGGCTCCAGCATACATGTCCGCCTAAGAGGTGAAAAAAGGAAGAACAAAAAATGAAGGTGAACTGTCCATTTCAAAACAAGGTCCTTATTTTTTAAATCTAAACCCACTTTAGTCTGACTGCATATGGCCACATGGACATCACAGTCTTTTCAAAAGACTGTCAGACTACAACCAGTGTTTAGTGAAGATCTGATTTAAAGAGGGCTGTACAGACAGCAGCATATTGTGACTGGCAAGTTCAAGCTGACTTTGGAATTAATCACAGCTAGTAGACAGATATGGACAAAGATGCTAATTTAAGGGGAAAAATATATATATTGTTAATGATATAAAAGCATAAAGGAATGCATTTATCTTTTAAGCCTTAAGTAGTTTATTTAAAATGTGTGTTCTTGACGTGTCATAATTAAAAAAACTAGTACAAATATTCCACATAGTCTCTCATAATTGATTAAAAAGCTGCTTTCATAATGATTATAATGAATGTTTTGTCTTAAAAAAATCGAATTTTCTGATATTTTAAGAGACTTGTAACATAATGGAAATACATACTTGCAACGATAAATGGTGGCCACCTTCGCTTCCTGAAGTGTGGTAAAAACTGTATACTTCCCTGCACCAATATATATTATATATATATTATTATATATATATATATAATAATTAATTTATAATTATTATGAATGTAGCTTATATATATATATATAATTTTTATTTTAAAGCTGCATTTAATTATCAAAGTGCTGGTTAAAATTCTTTTCAATTGAGTGTAGCATGTGTGATATGTAGCTTATATATATATATATAATTTTTATTATAAATTAATTATCAAAGTGCTGGTTAAAATTCTTTTCAATTGAGTGTAGCATGTGTGATGAGCGTCCCGAAGCTGCATCAGCGTCGCCCTGGAAACGAGCGAGGAGCACCTGGCCGTCCTCATAACAGGTTGATCGGTCACAGCTGCAGCTCATCAGGCAGCGGCCACATAAGCCACGCAAGCCCTGCCATCTGGGAGACTTCTCCATGAGACTAAGCACTAACTCGCCCTCTCATTTCTCCCACAGACAGCAGTATGGGACCGACCAGCCCCACAGGAGCACTGCACGGACACTCTGCACTGGGAAGATGAAAGAGAGCACTCACGGCACCGGAGCACCTACCTGGAGCATTCTCCCTACCACCCACCTCACTAATAAATCCACACTCCGGGGCATTTCTTAAGATATCCTTGTCGTGTGATTCTTCACCCCGTTACACATGTTACACCGCTGATTGTGTCAAAGTATCCCAACAGTATTGCATGTCAACTACCTCTCAAAGTACAATGATATTTCTATTTGGAGATTCTGGACTCACAGAGATTTTGGTGAAAACGTAAAGAAACAGGGAGAGCACGGACAGGTAGATCCGGATCCGCTGCCCACCAAAGCGTTTCTTCAGAAACTCTGGCATGGTCACGACCTGCAGATAAAGAGAATAAAGGGTCATAAAAATGATACCGCAGAGATAAAGTGGTCGACACATTCATGTTGTGTAAGTCAGCAGTGCTCCCCGGGCACCCTGAGAGAACTGAGCCACAGCCACACGGGTTCCATGCAGTGTTTCCAATGTGACATTAGTGCTGGGTATAGTATATCCTGCCCCAGAAGACTGCTTAATATCTTCAAGTTGAGATAGGCTTATGTCTGGCTCTGACAGTGTAACTTGATCTTCGGAATTGATGGGTTTCTCAGGAGACAGTTCCACTTCCATGGCCTCATATTCTATCTCCAGAACAGCACCCGGGTCCAACATCATCTCTGCTCCTTCAACATCTTCAGTGGGCATGTGGCTTTCCTCTACTACATCTTCACTGTCTGCTGGCTCACTGCTGCAGCTGGGCATGGGTGATGGCTCAGGTGGGTAGTCCTGTGCTTGGTCTGAAATCACTTGATTGTCACTGATAATTAACACAAGTGGATTCTTGGTACAGGTCTTCAGATGTTCACAGAAATCAGACCACTTAAAGAACTCCGCACAACACTTTTCACACACATGGATCTCTTCACTCCCACTGCGGCTCTCATTTCCACTGTCTGAATCATCCAGTCCTTCACCTGAGACTGAGAAGAACAGGAAAGTGAGGGGGAAGGGGGGACACATTAATATATTATTATTATTATTATTTGCACAATCAAATCTGTTTTACCCTTTCCCGTGATTGTGTTCATCTTAACCACCAATTTTGATCATTCCACTTTTCTCTGTATAGTCAGATAGCATCTGTCTTTGTGCAATCTACTTATTTTAGGACTATCAATTGTAGATATTGCCATGTATAAGAGATTCAATGCAATTCAATTTCCACTGTTTTCATATAAACCAGGGGCACTTTATCTGTACAAATCAGGTCTCACTCGGATTTACCACTAACATGAAATTTTAGATTTCATTAGTACTGTCAGATGTGTGAGCTATGCTTTTGCAAAATCTTTTCACACAGTGTGTTTATATAATAAATGTATGTTAAAGTTATTGCATGTTCTGTACAGTTGACATGTGTCATACCAATCCATATACCATATCTGAACTGTTTAAATCACACATTTGTTCTGAGATTTTAATCTGTACAAATAAATTCAGATATTTTGTGCACTTGTATGCATCACATGCTTCATGGCAATTAGTTGGTAATATGCTTGACTAGGAGTTTGGGATGGGTGTGAATTTTTGTTAATTGTTACACGCGCACACACACACACAAAAACTCTGAATGAATAACTTATTAAGCAGTGTTAAACATGTCTAAGTCTTCGTTTGATTGGACCTTGGTGGATATGAAATTCAATTATTCTGTATTTTCTACTATAAAATGAATACACATTTTGAAAAAATAAAAAAGCAAGAAGAGGAGGATTTAATTCCTCTTTTCAGTAGTGACTGGAATGAAATTATTATTATTATTTTAATCTATCTATAGATGACCATAGATAGATAACCATGACACGTTATCTTAAAAATTATCTTTTTCTCTATAATCATTTAGTCATTATTATGCTTCCCTTTATTTGAATTATGCATCCCTGTATCAGCAGCTAAGTGCCGGAGGCTTGGAATATCAACGCACGCTTTACGCACACATCCAATGTCCAGTCTTCATGTCGATTTCTGTCTAAAATTGCTTTATTGAACATAATGGAAATACATACTTGCAACGATAAATGGTGGCCACCTTCGCTTCCTGAAGTGTGGTAAAAACTGTATACTTCCCTGCACCAATATATATTATATATATATTATTATATATATATATATAATAATTAATTTATAATTATTATGAATGTAGCTTATATATATATATATAATTTTTATTTTAAAGCTGCATTTAATTATCAAAGTGCTGGTTAAAATTCTTTTCAATTGAGTGTAGCATGTGTGATGAGCGTCCCGAAGCTGCATCAGCGTCGCCCTGGAAACGAGCGAGGAGCACCTGGCCGTCCTCATAACAGGTTGATCGGTCACAGCTGCAGCTCATCAGGCAGCGGCCACATAAGCCACGCAAGCCCTGCCATCTGGGAGACTTCTCCATGAGACTAAGCACTAACTCGCCCTCTCATTTCTCCCACAGACAGCAGCGTGACCGACCAGCCCCACAGGAGCACTGCACGGACACTCTGCACTGGGAAGATGAAAGAGAGCACTCACGGCACCGGAGCACCTACCTGGAGCATTCTCCCTACCACCCACCTCACTAATAAATCCACACTCCGGGGCATTTCTTAAGATATCCTTGTCGTGTGATTCTTCACCCCGTTACACATGTTACACCGCTGATTGTGTCAAAGTATCCCAACAGTATTGCATGTCAACTACCTCTCAAAGTACAATGATATTTCTATTTGGAGATTCTGGACTCACAGAGATTTTGGTGAAAACGTAAAGAAACAGGGAGAGCACGGACAGGTAGATCCGGATCCGCTGCCCACCAAAGCGTTTCTTCAGAAACTCTGGCATGGTCACGACCTGCAGATAAAGAGAATAAAGGGTCATAAAAATGATACCGCAGAGATAAAGTGGTCGACACATTCATGTTGTGTAAGTCAGCAATATTTGAAAGGTTTGTTCTGCAATGCCGGTTGGAGAGGAAGAAATGTAAGCATACCCCAGCCTTTATGTAGATGGGCACGAAAAGCCATCCCAGAACAATCACAAGAACAAGAGCCTGAGGAAAATATTAAAAAGAGACCATCGGTTTGATATTTTCTACACATGTTCTCATCAGTGTTGTTACTGTTATTGTTGACTAAATTTAAAGCTACAAAAAAAAACTTGTTGAAACTGGAATCAAATACAATTTAAGATGAAAAATGTGAACTTAAGAAACAGAAAATTTGAAATGTTGCCTTTGGCACCTAACTGAAATAAAATAAGTTGTTGAAGTGCATAATGACTAAAACTAAAAATAAATAAAGCTAAACTGAAATATTAAAAAAAACAAGAAACTATGAAAAATAAAATACAAAATATTAATAAATACTATAATACATAAATAATACTAAACTAACACTGATTGCACTGATTAATTCGTTTTTTAAATAATACTTTACTTTAAAATCACAATACTTACAGAATATTATTTTTCTTTTTTAATGATCTACAGGCATAAAATGTTGCCACATGCCAAAATTATTAAACATCATAAATGTCTTTTTTATACTTTTTTGACATACATTCCACTCAAACCCCCCGATAGCAATACCAGCAGCCGCTCCAGTTCCTGCTATTCCCACAAAATGCACACTTCCGATGTTACTTGCAAATAGAGAGGCTCCAATCTGGGGGGGGGGAAACAACTTTTTATGAAAGCAATCATATTAATATATGCTTCATGTTATATTCACTAATATACACACATTTGATATTCATAGGAAGGTTAACTCCTGTATTGTATTGTCCTTGTGTGAGTGTACGGTCTTCAGTGTTCTTGAGCCGTGTGCTCTCTTGTCTGCGGGCCTTGTTTTATGTTTGGAGTGTGGTGTTTGGATTCCAGCACTCATGTCTGGTTCGGTTTCGGTCTAGTGTCGGTGTTCAAACACTCATGCTCCATGTCTGGTTTCTCGTGTGTGTGCACGTATTGTGTGTTCATTCATTCACCATGCGCTCTTGTCTCGTGTGTTTTGTGAGTGCTTGTTTTCACTGGCCAGGTGCTCGTGTCATTTTGTTCTGTTTATCACACAGTTTATGTTTACATTGGCCACGTGCTTTCATGTTATGTTCTGTCTTGTGTTGTGTTGTGTAGCACACGGCTCGGGTTTTCCTCGGACGTGTGCTTTCATGTTGTCATGTTTTGTGTGAACACGCTGCTAATAAGTTTTCTCGTTAGCTGCAAGTTCATGTCTTGTTTTGTGTGAGCACATGGCTTTGTTTTGTTTGTTTCTATGTGCCATGTGCTCTCCTGTCTATTAACCCCGCCCTTCTCATTGCCTGATTATTGGTTCATTTGCCCCACCTCTCCTTCCTTGTTACCTGCCTTGTTTGCTCCATATTTATTCTCCTTGTGTTTGCAGTCCTGCGTTAGTTTGTTTGCTGCGTCTGAAGGCCTAGGCAGCTGACTTGCTGCTTTGCTGCCCTATCAGGCAATGACTTTGCACACAGTGTTTTTGCTCAAAGGCACCTCATGAAACTGATTTTGGACAGGCTTCGGAGGCAGCGTAATAGTTTAATGATCTACAACAAAATAGAACGAGTTTCCCTTGCGAAAATTAACCATGGTTTTACTACAGTAAAAGTGTAGCAACCATGTTTTTTTGGCGTATTGATTACCATTTATATCACTACAGTTTTACAACAAATACCATGGTTAAACTATGGTTAGTGTAGCAAAACCATGGTTAATTTGTGGTTACCATGGTTTTATGATTACCATGATTAATGATACATTTTTGTAAGGGTTGGTGATAACTAAACGAATATCTAATTACTATAATACTGGTTTCTCACTAGAACTAACATCAAAAGTGCAAAAAGTCAGTCAGAAATATACACTTACACAAAAACTGACCACCAAACGTAACTTTCAGATGCCATCTTTATTTTTTAGCTCAACCGGAATGGAACGCACAGGATTGTGATATATAAAAGGCAGCGAAGGATACATCTATGCTGCTTTCAAAAATCGAGGAAGCCTATCTCATGAGACAGGAATTGAAGCTAACTTTGGATTCAGACGTGCCTTGATGCCTTCCTACCTTGGAATGCGTCCTCCGAAGGCAGCATTTTGGAGCTTTCAGACACAGTCATCAACTAATGTCTAATGGTTGAGGGAAATTTTGCGACATGTAGGACTCATTTACGTCATTATTACTAGCAAATGTGTGTCACATTACTATTTAATAAAAGATATGTAATAATGTGCATTGTCTAAAAATATAGATGTTTTCTTTTTTGGTTTTCAGGTTTTACCTGAAATTAGACTTGATGACTATTATGTGACCTGCCTTATGTTGAAATAATGCACTTTTAGTGAATAAAGGACGTGGGTTATTTAAATTATTGTATTTTGTATGTTTAATGAAAATAAAATGTTTGTTCTTTTGCTTCCAAGTTTCAGTAAATAGACTTGAAATGTAATGACTTGTAACTGCTGTGTATGATATAATGCTTTTTAATGAATAAAGGTAAAAAAAATGAATAAATAAAAAGGTATTCTTTCTATGGCTTCAATTTCAACAAATTAAATTTTTTACTGACTAGTATCGATGTTATGTATGCCCAATCATGCTGGGTTTTTTAAATGAACAGAATAAAACCTAATCTTAAATTGTAGTGAAAGCTCTATAGTAGCCTACTTAACAGAGATTTAATTTAGACCTTTATTTACATCGATCAACGCACATCAGAACTGGTAAACGAAAGGTCAGACGTGATTGATGCGCAAGAACCAATCAGATTTTGTAACACGTTTTACGCAAGCAATGCAAATAAATTACATTTTTAGCCTGAGTTTCGACGAAAGCCAATGAGGTTTGTTTCAACATATCACGCGGTAGATTGAGCTTGTATAAATAACAAATATAGCCGCAAGCAGCGATTTACCAGGGTTCAAGTGCTTTAAGGCCTTTATGGCTTCTATGTTGTTAGGGTCTAGGCCAAAGTGAACTGTATGGCTGACACCAGAACATCATGATGGAGAATTCAATCACACCAATGAAAGGGTTAAACTATATTACTTAATAGATACAGTATTAATACACACTAAGCATGCTCACACACAAATATCTGATTGTAAGTCTGCTGTTTATGACACCATTTTTCAGGTTTAATCATAATGTGGCATAATTGTAAAAACTGATATGTCTTTATAAATGCATTGGTAAACTTTTACTAAATGTGAGTTTAAATGTTATAACAGTGATTTTATAATGTCTAAATATAAATCCAAAAGTAAAACCTGAGAAAATAACTATATTAGGGAGTAGAATGAGCCAATGAGTCATCCTTTTCTGCCATCTAGTGATTATAATTGCATTTTCATGGAATTTACTTGAGGAATATAAAGGCCCTCTACTCACCCTTCATTGTGTTTGCAGATACTGCCGCTGTCGTTTCTAGCACAAAGTGTCGCTGGACTTCTTGCCCGACCTTCCTTGGGTCGCTCGCATATAGTCAAGTTTGTCTTCTGTGAACGATTGCGAGTTTGACATTCCTCTCAAATGCACACTAGATCGTTGGCATTGCTCTGGCGTTGCGGTGAATGTTTGTGGTCATTTGGTAGTGTTGCATACATACAGGTGTTTTCTCGGCGGAGGATGTGAAACATTGGCGGAGCTTTTAGTTCATGTCCGCTGTCATTTTCGAGTGCTTTCCGAGCTGTCGCGTCGGCGCTGCTCGCGTCTCAATCAACAAAATATTTCGCTGTAAGCTCACGTGAACCTGCACGAACCTGGGCCAGCTGTCGGAAACAAGGCTGCTGGTCTCCTTCGGCATTTCGTCTTCATCACTTCATTAGCCTTCACCATTATAAGTATTATTTTGTTTTATGCTGTTATTTTCACAGGCATGTCTGTGCTCGTGCAGGTCGCTGCGCGGTCATTTGGTCCCGAGTTTCGCAGACTCGGTTTGGGGGGCATTTGTTTGTGGTTGATGGGACGCACGAGTGGAATTTGCGCAGTGCATCTATTGGTCATTTGGAGTCCGGTATCATCCCATACGCTTGTCGCGTGATTGTTTGTGTATCTAGCAGACTAGCCTGCATAATTAACCTAATTTGAGCCTAGGTTGCATTATACCTTAGTGCAATTTTGAAAGAAAAAACATTTTAATAAATAACCCTGTTTACCATCTTCTGTAATATAGATTACAGTACAGAGTCCAGAGTTCACGATTCATAGTCACATAGTGCTGCACGATTCATCTTTGCAAGCGTGATATTTTAACCAAGCGGCAACCTCCCGCTCTCTCTCGTGAAGCCAACACGGAAGTGACTTAAACTGTAATTCATCAACTGGCCGCTAGAGGCTGGCTGCAAAAGGGAGTCAATCCCATAGACACCCCATGTTAAAATGCCCAACTTTACAGCAGGAAAAAAAAAAAAAAAACGTTTACAGCCTGGTTCAAAAAATGATTTTGCTCTATATAGCTAATTTTGCCCTTGATGAAAACTGTGAGGGGGGTGATTTTTTTTTTATAACTCATCCGTTTAAATTATATTAAGCCTTAAAGTTCTGCATAATTAAGGGCGTGGCCACTTGAGTGACAGGTGGATTGCCGCTGCTGTCACCACCGTCGAGCTAGGTGGGCGTGGCTTCAGCAACCTGCTCCCGCCTCTTTGCCCATTTTCGATTATCTGGGAGTGACGCGCGGTGACGCACTGCCAAGATGGCGACGGACGCCTCAGCCCAATTTAGGCTTCAAAAACGCTCTTCGGGCATCTACGGGTGACGTCACGGACACTACGTCCATGTTTTTAGACAGTCTATGATCTTAACCTGCATTTAAAAGAAACAAGACCATAAAATATTTTCAATACATTTACTTATATGAGGAGTATTACAAACCCGTTTCCAACCAAAGTTATAATATTTACCGAGATGTCGCTCTAACTAATTCAATACATTCAATGTTTGGAACAACTCTTCATAATGAGGCATCTTGAGGCTCATTAGTATAGGCTTACAATCTTTACATTGCTCGCATTATACCTTCTGTAAAATACGCTGTGTCTAGCACACTGTAAGGTATTTGTTGTCTTAATCATATGCTTTGTCTTTGTTTCTTCAGTCATTGTTTAATTCGTGTCTATCTACAACAATTCCTGAATGCCTCGTACCGGAATAGGGTAAGTATTACAACTTAAGTCTCTCCTGTTGCGTAGACCATCTCTGCAAAGAGGTCCTTGCTGTCTATTTCTGCATAAGCATCCTCTGAATAAGAGCAAGAATGTAAACGGACATGTTTTCTTGCTATGCTCAAACACAAAAGTTTCCAAATGCAAAATATATTGACTAAATTAGAATTTCATCAGTTTCGTCTAATCTGTTATTATTTTACTATTCTCAGGACATATTATATTTAAGGTAATTAGCTCTAGATTAGCTATGTGGCATTAGTCTGCTCCAATAAATAACTAGCTGGCGCTCTTTTTCTATGTGGTGAGCATTTAAGGATTCTATCTCGGAACTCGTACTGGTCAAGGCCTTTCTATAGTCTGTGTTTTACATACTTCCTGTTTATAGACATGACTTCCTCTCTGGATTTCCTCCTCAACTTGTCAATGTTTGGACTTAGAGGTATAATTACTACAGTTCTGTAAAAAATTAGTAGTGCCCCGTGACTT